GAGAGAGAGAGAGAGAGAGAGAGAGAGAGAGAGAGAGAGAGAGAGAGAGAGAGAGAGAGCTGCTTGCACTGTTCCTCGTGCGGCCTTTGCTGCACCCACTGCCAGCCCTCCTGCACCTGCTCCGCGTCTGCTCCTTGCCTGCTATGGCCGCCTCGTTGCCCTGCTTCTTCCTCCCTCTGACAATGGCGGTAGTGGCGGGCATGCAAGCTCGAACATTGTTGTGGGAGGGGGGGCGGCCGAACTCGCAAGACGGGATGATGAATTCAAAGACTGTGCCCACTACGAAGCTGCCACGATGCAAGGATGACATTCAAACGGGCAGAAACATAGAAGGAAGAAAACTTCCCACAGGCAAAAAAAAAAAATTCTGGCCCTACCGGATGCCCCTTCAGGGCCAAAAAAATTATGCTCGTATTTTTGGCTGGCAACCCTGGGCGAGACGAAACGCCCTGGACAAACAAAAAAAAATTTGGCCATTGGCCAAAGGGCCTGAGATCCGGACCGGGATCCGGACACGTTCACCGGACACCGGACACCAGACGGTCCGGATCCCTGTCCGGTGGTCCGGATCGCTGCCATGCTTTTGCCTCAGGATCATATCGAAATTCTTCACCAAATTTAGAATAAAAAATACTTAAAAAAAATAAATTTGTTTTTTTATGTTTTTTTTTTTTTTTGGCACAGCCGGGCAAGTGTCCCCGGGCCACTCTGTTAGCCTAGAGAAAACGCTAATGCTTTAAGCCCAACCAATTCAATTACCTGTCGAATCTGGACAGGACGGCCTTTCAGGGCTTTTTAATTGTCATTATAGTATTACGGGGAACCCCGTAGCAGCCACATTCGTGCTCAAGCCTCCAACGAGGGAACATGCGGCAGACATCATTACACCCTGAAACGGAGGAACTCTGACAGCTGTGTTTGGCTCTCTCGCATCAAACTCTCTTCCTTCTTTGGGCAATGAATGCATCTGGCCATCCATGTTGTCCCTGTCCATTTTACAAATGGTGACCTCCTGTCCCCTCACCACGGGAAGTATCCTTTTTCCACGGAAACATTCACTCCAACTGTGCCAGACGTGTTTCATTTCTCCGAGTTACGTAATCATAAATAAGGAGAAAAGTTGTTTCTAGCTTTTTTTTTTTCAGTTTTTTAATTTCTTGTTTCGAATTTATTAATGTCAAATGGTGTCACACGGTTGCGTTTTCTAAACTTAAACTTGGGCGGTGGGACTTCACCCTTGGTACGAGCAGACACCTTATCTCCCCCAGGAAGGCTCCATCTATTGGTGGGGAGCAACACCTGCTGGAAATCGGGTCCAGCGTCCCTTACACAAAAACCATTTCAATCACACTGAGTTGTTTCTGACTGTCTTCTAACCTGCCAGCATTGATTACCCTCGAAGCACACTAACTTTTAAGATATTGCAAATCAAAAATTTCAAACAAATAAATAAATAAATGAGGAAGTAAAGGAGAGTGAAGAAAAAACTAAGTTTTGGATTTGTACAAAATTTGGCAGCATTTTGTTACCCCCATGGGGGCACAGCGTGCCGTCAAAGAAATGACCAAGTAAAATGAGAAAATTTCCCCAACACTTCATTACTCCCAAGGGAGCAACAGGTGTTGGAAGATGAAACTAAGGAGGAGGGGAAAATTTCGGTAGCACTTTGTTACCTCCAAGGGGTCAAAATGTGTGCCGAAAGCAAGAATGGCTAAGTCCTAACCAGATTTGAATGTGCCACAAAGAAATTCGGATTTTTCCTAGGCTACCAGAGTGGCCCGGGACCACTTCACCGGCCGGGCCAGAAAAAATAAAAATAAAAAAATGAAAATCATTTTATTTTATTTTTTATTTTAAATCTGGCAACGAATTTCGATGTGATCCTGAGACAAACATTATATTTTCCTGCATAACATACTTTTTTTCGGGTTTTCGTTTTTTTTGAACCTTCCCTGGTCCTTGCACGGCCGAACCGCCTGGGAAAATAGGGTGACCCACGCGGCCCGGATGTTAGCCTAGGATTTTAGAGAATAATTACAAAATAAAATAATGTGAGGAACGAGCCCTCAAGGGGCCCCATCAGACATCACATGTTCTGGGCTAACGCCCCAGCAAGCCGAGTCCCCGCCCTAAGTGAAGGCGGGCCAGAATATTCGGCAAAGGCCAAATTTCGACATTTCCATATGTGGGTATTCAGGCTCTCGCAGTATGGCAGTTGGTTGGGTACACGCGTGAGCCTCACTAAGCTGTGTCGTACAGTTGGCCCAGGCTTTGACAGTTGCGCCTGAGCACATACACACAAAGCAGGGCCGATACATTGGGAAGCAGGCCATCGGCCTTTGGAAAAGTAGTACTGCTGACGCACCTACCTGGGAGCCCTGCACAAATGCAGCAAACAGCCCAAGTCCGGAGACTCAGGCCGTGCCCAACTGAAAAGGGCCAAGGCCCTCAACTGTAGTCTCGGGCCTGGGCGCAGGGTTTGAGGCCCAACCGGAAGCTACTGGAAGCTTCCAGCCAGGCCACACGCAGCATCCAGGAGGCTGCCACTTCCATAAAAGAAGTGAGGCAGCCCAGGCCAGGCATTCTGGCCAGTGCAGGCAATGCGGAAGTGCTGCTGCGCTATCGCTTGATGTTGCGCTGCTGCCAAAGGCGTTGACGGGGCGCATAGTGGTGAGGTGGGGCGCTGCTGGGCAGCGGGGCGCAGGCAGCCATAGCCGGGCTGCTGGGCGCCAGGGGGTAGGAGGGCGATCAGGTGGTCTTTAGGGAAGGAGGCGAGTGTGGGTAATCAAGGTCTGATTGAGGGCGACGAGATACGTACTTGGTGCATGAAGAGAGGTCGGCTATGGTGTTGACAATCATGTACATTGGTCTTTGTTACGTGAACCAGCTGTAGGTAGGATAGCCGGGTAGAGTAGGCTGGGCGCTGGGCGCCAGACAGAGAGGAGCGACTTTGGATATTGTGTTGGTGTGGTCTACAGGCTTGAACATTGACTCGTTACTTCATTGTATTGCTCATATGGATGGTTTCTCGGTGCATTTTGTACTCTCTGCTGGGACGCGACGACCTGGACATCTGTGTGATTTCGCAACTTGTTTTCTGTATATCGTTCACACTCATATTCCTTGCAATTTGGTATCAGAGCTGGTTCGTGATCGCCGCTTACCTGACACCGACGACATTGTTACTTGGTGCGCTGATGATGCTTCATGTGCAGTAAGGATACTTTTGCGCTGGTATGTATTAGCGGGGCCTAGGTGGAGAGGCGGGCCGCTGGAAGGTTGTGGCGACAGCGGGTGTATGCATGGTGATGAGAGTATCCTGACATGGCATTTTGGCTGAGGTGGCACTGCATTGCGTTGTGGGTGGTACCGAGGCTATTGACCGGTCATCGAAATGCACGTCGGCCCAATTGGTGAGAAATCTGTGGTTGGGGGCAGCTATCTCCAGGTAAGTTGTTCCCATTCCTTATCTACCCTCTAGATCTCTTCTTACAGTGAGGAAGTGAGTCCAACTTGAGTGTCCTCTCTTTGGTGAGGAGTCGCGTGTGCTCTACCTTGAGAGACGACATTCTTCCCGGTGGCGCATCTGGCAGGAGAGGGTGGTGCCTCTGAAGGGCCCTGGTCGAAGCATGGGTCGCGGTCACCATGCCAACCCATGGGAGTAGTACACGCAGGCTTTGGTGCTTTGTCCATTGAGGCTCTTTGCTGCGCTAATAGAAAGGGTGTGCGGACTGACCAGTCCTAATGCAGACGCTCCCGGACTGCCTATAAATATTTCTGGAACAAACGCTCCCAGACCGTTTATAAACATTTATGGTTGGGGTCCGATCTGTCCACTGGTTGTGATCGTCGTCCTAATTGCGACGTTAAATAATTCCTGAGGACCCTCGGGGGCTGTCCTTAAATTGCCTTTTGATCAGCCAGATCAGTCGGATGTAAGGCTCATTGCATGCGAGGGTAAACAAAGGGCAGGCTGGTCATAAGCATACACCTTGGGCACAGGGGTGGGTCGTGATTGCACTCCTTAGACACCGCAGCTTGATGATGCTCACATGTACGTTGGATACAGGGGAAGGGGATTCCAGTTGTGAACTCTACTGTACATCACTACCATTACCGTTGTGCATACATCTGCTCACATTAGTCTAATCTTTATTTTTGATTAGTTGGTTGACAGACTGATGACACCTAACATACAGCCTAGAGTAGGACAATAATCTACCATAGTCAGTTCTTTTCGAAGCTTCTGTGCAGAACTAATCAGAATAGAGTTAGACTATGTGTATAGTTTGTGTAGATGTTGTTGATGCCGCTTGACCGGTAGTCTAGGTAAATTGTTTATTTTTAGAACCGGTTAGACGTATGCTGCGGTAGGTCCCAGACAAGACTCTAGTGCAGACAGCGTCTGCCTAGCCGCTGAGTGGATCAGCCGGGGATACAGGTACAACTGACGAGAGGAGGATAACAAGGCTATCATCGCTTAGAATCCCTAGAGTGTTTTTGGCCCTACAACCCGGAGAAGACAGAAGACTAAGGGCCGAAGCTAGGGCCCGTACTCTTGAGGCTGCAAGGGAAGCAGCAGCGACCGAAGCAAGAGCGTTGGCAACAGCTAGCGAGGTAGCAATGGCTACCGCTTCAGCAACATCTGCAGCAACCTCTGGTCTGGGTGTGTCGCCCAACTCGACCAGTTCGCAGTCAGTTTCCAATACGTCAGGGGCCAGCGCTAGTCTGATGGCGGGTGTGCAGTCCAGCCTGCTGCCTCATCTTATAAGGGAGAAGATGGAGCTCCAGCAGGTAGAGAGGATCTGCCTAAGGCTAGAAGAGGAACTCAAGTAGGCTACTAAGAGAGAAAAAGAAATTAGAGAGAGAAGAGTCAGACTAGAGCGTAGGGAGGCAGACCTAGCTGCACTAGAGGGTTTAGATGACGCGACCCTTAACTCTACAGGAAAGATTCTGAAGGCGAGCGTCCTGTCCATGTAGGCGTACATCGAGAGCAAAATGAACGCTATGCAGGACACCCTGGACCAGATTCTGCAGGCCCTACAAAGGCCAGGGATCCGGACAACAGCTTTGTCATCGCTTCCATTATCAGCGATGACAGGCCTCTATGCCGCTCAGTCTGGACAGCAACCAAGTGGTACATCAACAACAGCTCTATCTTAGACTGTTGCTTCTTCATCTTCTGGTCCAGCGACTGGAGCTACACCACAGTCACAACCTGTCCCGCCAGCGGGACAGCAATTACCTTGGTACCCCAAGACCCCCCTGAAACCACCTCCAACCTTCTCAGGAGACAAGAAGGATGAGGCTCTTGACACGTGGTTGAGAACGGTGCTAGTGTGGGTGAGGGCAAAGAGGACATTGGTAGAGGAGGAAGTGATTACTACTGCATCCTACTTAGAGGGTTCAGCAGCTCGCTGGCTAAATGGATTGGTTGCTTCAAAGGGTTTCGACAGAAACATGGGTGATTGCGCTCAGACCCACACCATAGAAAGCTTTATGGATTTAGTGGATGCTCGATGGCACAACCCTCAGCAGGCACAGATTGCCACTGATGGGCTATTGAAACTTGACTCTAGGAAGTACAAGTCAATGCGAGAGCTCACCACGACCGTAGAGCGTCTTATTGTCGTTCCAGGAGTGGAGTAGAATCCACAGGTCTTGTTGACCATGTTCTTGAGATATCTTCCCACAGACATCAAGAACTTATTAGCCAATGAGGCTCGTCTAGAGTATTATACTTTTGAGACATTCGGCAAGAAGGCCCTAGACTTAGAGGATACGCTGGGTGGTGCTCAAACCCCCACTACGGACGGAAGAAAGAAGACGACTCCACAAGAATGGAAGAAGAAGGGTAGTCGATTGATGATGGTTGATTCCGATGGGAATCAAACTGAGATCGATGATGTTTCCTGAGCTTGTGGAGGGAGCAGAGTTAGATGGCGAGGAGAATGTTGAGGGTAGCAACCTCGCCGCCGTAGTTAAGACTAAGGCAGGTGGCCACGGGAAGGGCGGTCAGCAAAGGAGTCAGTCCAAACCGCCAACCCAAACAAAATAGTTGCTTGGGTTAGGGTCCGTTTGTGGCACGACCGTTGGCAGCGGGGTGCTTGCATAAACTGCGGCGAGTACGGCCATACGCAGTTTAAGTGCAAAAACCCGAAGGTCTCGCAGAAGATCCCTCCTAAGGGTGGGTATCCTTCTTCTCAGTTTGGGGCCTCTACGAGCTCCAGCTCGGGAAACACTTAGGGATGGTAGAAGTTGTAGTTGCTTCTACTCTCGTTGAAGCGGGTGATGTACCATCCCCGTTTCAAGAGTTGGCCGAAGCTATTGATTCCTTGGTCACCCCGCAGACGCATCCGGACCCAACTATACTCTGTACGTTGGATGTGTCTGAAGCCTTAGACGACCTTCAAGGTGAGTGGTCGGAAAGGGACCCTCGTGAGTCCTGGGTGGCACTAAGTAGAGGTCCTAGAAGGGAGCACTTCGTTGTGGAAGTTGGTGTGGGTAGTCGCCAAGTGTGGCGCCTTCATGGACATTGGCTCCACGCGAAACTTCATAAGTCGCGACTGCGTTGATAGACTGCGCCTAAAGGACAGGGTGCAGCGCTTTAGTAGACCGATAGCATCTACTTTGGCCAACAAAGAGTGCATGATGGTGGAGGACTACGTTACAGACGTGGTCTGTACGTTCTCCTACCCAAGAGGAGAGATAAGCCATAAGATATCATTCCTGGTGAGCGACGATTTGCCTTTTGACATGTTGTTGGGCATGAACTACTTCGAGGTTGCCAAGCCCCAGTTTGACTGGGACAAGAAGGTGTTGAAGCACGAGTTGCCTAATGGGAGGACCATTAGACTGGCTAAGTATAAAGCCAGTAGGTTAATAGACTCCTATGAGTGCTTATGCGCATCTTCCTTCTATAACTATTATAAATAGAACAAGAGGAAGGAATGTACTTAGTCTATGTCTCTGCGAAAGGGGAGGCCATTAAAACACCCCCAGAGATAAAGACAATTGTCGCTAAGTATCCTGATCTATTTGAGGAGCCTACATGAGTTGTAGGCAGGGAGGTTGTCCATGCCATAGAGATCATCCCAGGTAGCAAAACACGTAAGGGAAGAATCTATAGGATGGCTCCGACTGAGTTGGACGAGTTTCAGCGACAACTGAAAGAGCTCACAGAGAAGGGGTGGATTCGGCCTAGCACCTCCCCCTTTGGCTCACCAGTCTTATTTGCTCCAAAGAAAGGGGGAACACTGAGGATGTACATTGATTATAGAGGCGTCAATGCCATCACCGTTAAGAACGCAGAGCCTTTACCACGCATCGACGACCTATTGGATAGGGTGCAGGGGTGTAAGTATTATACAAAGATAGACTGAAAATCCGACTACCATCAGATTGCCATAAGACCAGAGGACCAGCACAAAACCGCATTCCGGACCAGGTACGGTCTGTATGAGTTTATGGTGATGACCTTTGGCCTTTGCAATGCGCCGGGTACATTCCAGCACGCCATGAATAGGATTTTCCATGACTACTTGGATAAGTTAGTTGTCGTGTACCTCGACAACATACTGATCTTTAGTAAGACTATCGAGGAGCATGCTAAAAATGTAGACAAGGTACTTTAACTCCTTCGGCAACACAAGTATAAGATAAACCTAGAGAAATGTGAGTCCGGTCGCACTCAAATTGTGCACTTGGGTCATGAAGTATCCGCGGATGGGATTAGGCCCGAAGATGCGAAGGTGGCTAGCATTAGGGATTGGCCACGACCCCAGTCTGTGACTGAGGTCATATCATTCTTGGGAATGTGTGGATATTGCCGCAATTTCGTAAAAAATTATAGTACGATCGCAACTCCCTTGACTGATCTAACTTGACTTGACACGCCATGGGACTGGACCGACGAGTGTGAGGCAGCATTTAAGCGATTGAAGCATGCTCTCACAGACCATGAAGTTCTCATGGTACCCGACCCGCAGAGGTCATTCGTTGTAACCATTGACACAAGCCAATATGGCATTGGCGCAATGCTGGCTCAGCAGGAAGGGAAAAAGTTGAGACTGGTCGAGTATATGAGCAAAAAGATGCCATCAAAGAAGTTGGCGAAGTCCACCTACGAAAGGGAACTCTGTGCTCTCTACAAGGCACTGGCCCACTGGAGGCACTATCTGTTAGGAAGGTTCTTCTACTTGAGAACTGACCATCAGACCCTCAAGTGGATCAAGACCTAACCTGTTCTCTCCGATGCACTCAAACACTGGATTGAAGTCATAGATCAGTATGACTTCAAACTAGACTATGTGAAGGGAGAGTACAACAAGGTTGCGGATGCGTTGTTTCGCAGTGCAGATTATCTAGGTGTGCTGATCTCTGAGTTTGGCTTGTCTGAGGACGTTACTCGATCTTCGGGGGAAGCCTACAAGGAAGATCCCATCACGATGGACATCATCAACAAACTGCAGGCCAAAGACAAGGCCACCTCTGACGAGTTTGTGATGGTGGATGGGTTACTCTTTCTTGAAAAGGCAGGGTTTGAAAGGTTGGTTGTTCCATCTAGGAAGATTTTGTGTAGCTTATCTTTAGGTGAGTGCCACGACGCAACGGGACATTTCGGCTACAAGAAGACTAGTGCTAATTTAGTACAGCGATTCTTGTGGCCTAACATGCTAGACAATGCAAAGAAGTATGTACAGACCTGTCAGGTCTGTCAACGGGATAAGCCGCGGACTCAAGCTCCGCTTGGGTTACTCAAGCCTCTACCCATTCCTGCTGGCCCAGGGCAGAGCATCTCCATGGACTTCATGGATTCTCTCGTGACCAGCAAGAATGGCAAGCGACACATCTTCGTCATAGTTGATAGGTTTACTAAGTTCGCTAGACTAGTCGCCATGCCAGAGACCGTCAGGACCGAATACGTCATTAAGTTTTTCATTGATAACTTTGTGCGTGATTTCGAGCTACCAAAGGCAGTCGTTAGTGATAGAGATGTGCGATTCACCAGCGAGATGTGGAAGAAGGCCGTTAAACAGATGGGCAGCCAGCTTCAGATGACTTATGAGAATCATCCCGAAGCAAATGGGCAGGCTGAACAGATGAACCGTGTGGTGCAGCATCTGCTGAGGCATTACATCAAACCCAGCCAGGACGACTGGATGAGAAATTACCTCTCATCACCAGTCTGTACAATAACGTTGTACAAAGCACCACCGGAGTCACCCCACATCAGCTGCATCTGGGATGGAAGCCTAGATCTGCTCTAGACTTCCTCCTGCCTGAAAACCGAACTGCTGCAACTCCTGGAACCATTGAATTTGGTGTCCAGTACGAGAAATTGTTGCAGCAGACTGTCGAACACATCAAGAAATCTCAGGAAGCCATGATTGCTTCTGAGAATAAGAAACGCCGACAGTCCACATTTAAGGTAGGGGAACGTGTCTGGGTCAAGGCTAGTGAGTTAGGACAGGAGTTTGGCATCTCTAGGAAACTAATGCCTCAGTATTTCGGTCCATGGGAAGTCTTGGATATTGTGAAGAATGATTTGGATGGTCCCTCGTACATCATTCGTATCCCTAGTCACCTACGCACTTACCCTGTTTTTCACGCCTCCAAGCTTGCACCTTTTGCTGAGACAGTATAGCTCCCATCACGGAGATCTATGCTGCCCCGGGCCCAGACCCAGGTCAACGGGTACAGACCCGCAGACCCAGACCCAGGTCAACGGGTCAAACAGACAGACAGCCAAACAAAGAGAATCAAATAGACAAACAAACATTCAAACAAACAGACAAACAAACAAAGAGACAGTCAAACAGACAAACAGGTAAACCTGAGAACAAGCCCAGATCCAGGCTTATGTCGTGCAAAAGAAAAGAGAAAAAAAATAAAAAAATCGTCAGGCCCTGCACCTAGGCCCGCGGGGTTTAGGCCCAAGCCTTGGCCCAACACCAAGGATCGGCCCCAATATGGGCCTTGTCCCAGGTCCAACAGCCAG